GGGGACTTAAGGGACCTGGGTTCGATTCCGGTCAAGGGCATGTACCTTGGTTGCGGGCACATCCCCAGTAGGGGGTGTGCAAGAGGCAGCTGATCGATGACTCTCTTTCATCGATGTTTCTAGCTCTCTATCTCCTCCCTTCCTCTCTGTACAAAATCAATAAAATATATTAAAAAAAATAACCCTTGAAAAATACACAAAACAAGATCACCTGATATTTCTCTTTTGCTTTGGAAGCAATCCCTGTGATTCTGGGACCTCAGAAAAATTCCAGCTTGCTTAGACAAAAATAACTTGTTTTTAATCTTGAAAATATTTAATATTATTTTTACAGTAACCAAGAGACAAGGATGTGACTTACATGATGCAAAAATTAGACTTTGACTTCACTCTATCTCTTCCCCACAAGCTGCTTTTCTATGACATTTGCACGGTCCAATCAATTATTTGATTGCTGTTCAAATAATGTATCATCATGACTTACTGATGGATGCCAATTAATGTGGAAATGTGGAAAGTAAAAAGCATAGGGTTCTAATAACACCAATTAAGAGCTGAAATTTTAAAAGCTCTGATACATATATATTGTAGACAGCAATTTATTTTGTCAAAAGATGATTCAGTTTAAAAGAGATCTACCAAAAATCATTTTTAAAAGTCCATAGACTTCTCCAGTATATCTTAGAAGTAAGGTTTAATTTACAAATATTCATATGTATATTTGTGTGTGTATGTGGTCTCTCTCTTGGCGGCGGGGACGGGGGGGGGGGGGTTGGGGAGGGAGAGAAGGGAACCATGAAGTACAAATAAAATAGTAATTATACTCTGCCAATAAGATTTACTCATAAGAATTACAAAAAAGTTTGTGCCCAATACAATTATCCTAAAAAGGGGACAACATTTCCTATTTTTAGGTAGGATGGTGTTAAATCTGCTCTAACCACTTCAGCTATTTGTTAGAAACAAATCCCAATTGTGGAAACAACTTCAGATGCTCACAGCTGGTTGAATTGGGAATGAGACAGGAGTGACTTTTCGCAGATACACAGCATCACTTAGGGACCGGGAGATACATTAGCACAGCCCCACTCTCATTTTACAAATGAAGCTGCTTGTCCCAGAGAGGAAAAGAGCCTTTCAAAGGCTGCAAACGAGGCAGAGGACACAGAGCGTCCCCATTCCAGGACAGCACTCCTACGTTGTTAGCCCTTGCCAGTGGCTGAGCCTTCAGACAATGAGATGCGTCTTTCTCTTTCCCATGTCTGCAGTACTTACATCCCAGCTACCTAGTATGGGGCATGTGGTGGGTGCCAGGGGACAGAGAAACATTTCATATTTAGAGATTATATATATATATATATATATATATATATATATATATATATATATATATATTTGCACATTATATTAATTGTAATTTTGCATATTATCTCCCTCTCATGAAGTCAACTGGCTTCTGCTATTACTTGAGACTAAGCCTAGGGCTCCTTTGCTGAAATGCTTTTTTTTCCTCACCTGAGGATATTTCCCCCCCCATTGATTTATAGAGAGCGGAAGGGAGAGAGGAAGGTGGCAGGAGAGAGAGACATCAATGTGAGGGAGACTCATGGATCAGTTGCCTCTGCATACACCATGACCAGAGCCGGGGAACATGCAACTGAGGTAACTGTACTTGACCAGGAATCAAACCCTTGGTCCACAGGTCAACACTCTAACCACTGAACAAACCAGCCAGGGTATGCTTAAACTCCCTACCATACTACTATTATAGATAATAATGATAACATTATTGAGCACCTATTTATAATAATAAAAGGATCATATGCTACTTAGACCAAACCTCTTCTGAAATCATTCTGGAGGTCCTTCCTGACAAAGCCAGGGCCAGAGGGAAGCCAGCCCAGGCCCTGGGTGCCTGCCGGCGGCCAGAGGGAAGCCCTGGTCCTGGGTGCAGGAGGGAAGCCGGTGCTGGCAGATGGGGGAAGGAAGGCCTACTCTTGCACGAATTTTCATGCATCTGGCATCTAGTAATATTATGCTGACTTTAGAGATGTCATCTAGTTACTGCTGCCAACTCTGCACTTGTATTTTATACTTGAGCCTTAGAAACAGCCAGAGACCTGTCCAGAGGAGGACAAGCCTTGAAGCATTCCCTCTCTCTGCCCGAAGAGTCCATGCTCCTCCCTTTGCCTCTCTAGCCTCCCCCCACCCCCATAAACCCCCTCCCTCCACTACAGAAGAGTGCTCAGGAGCCATTTGTGATGCCTGAAAGAGCTAGATTGGAGTTCACACCATGTTACTGCTTATATAAGTCTTCGTTCCTACTGGGATCTGAAGAACGGGAAGACCATTTAAAAACAAGAAACACTCAGATTAGCAATCAAGGTAACCAAAATCTAAAGAAAAGTAGTAAAAAAAATATATCTCCACCAAATTGATTCGTCAAAGCCAATTACCAAGTTCGTGAATTTAAGTGGATGGAAAATGTTCCCGTAGAAAACAAACAAAACATTTTCTTAATGCAGTTTACTTTTCTTTCTTTTTTTATAGGAGAAAAATCATTTTATTTCCTAGTGGTTTTTGTTTGTTTGTTTGTTTGTTTTTTTACTTTTTTCCATTACCATGTATCCCCTCTATATTTCCTGGTTTTCATTTGGCATATTTCTTATGGCTCAGAAATCATTTCCTTCCTTAACCATTGTCTGAAAACTATTTCCTATGCATTAAAAGTGTATTGGTGGGAAAAGTAAACTTGTAATGTGGAAAAAATGTTTTCTCAAGACAATTTAAGGACATTGAAGTGTTGTTTTTTTTTGTAAAAAAAATATGTCATTTTAAGCTATCTTCTTAGAGAAGCAAATTCTAGAGATTCAAGACATATTTCCTGTGCTCTAAGGATAGAACTCTGTTTCCAACTCTGTTTTTCCTTCTAAATGACCTGCTGTTTCAGAGAAGTGGACTCATTTTTTTTGCACTTTGTTTTCCTAAAGATGATATGCAGATATTACAAATGTTAGATAATGACTAAGATTAACAGAAATCCTATACCCTGGTCTTAAGTTCTACGAAATAGGAAAAACAATTTTAAATTACATTTTGCTGCTACCTTCATAAAAGTGTGAAATAATTTTGCTTTCCTGGGCTTTACAGAAAACACTTTAAAATGCCACAAAGATGTATAACAAGACATAAAACTGCAAATATTAACTGTCTATTTCCTTGAAATATAATTTAAATGTGGTGACTAGGACAAGAAAATGTCACATTCCTTTCTCTTGCTAAGGAAATTGCAAATTTCCTTTGCAAAAATAAAATATATGCAATCTTCATAAGCATATATGTGACAGTTTTAAAGTTGTCTTATTTGAGGTTAAAGGTTCCTATAAATTTTCATGATTGTCTCCCCATTGAAAAAAGAACAGAAACCAAGAAGAAATGGGGAGACACTAACCTCAGGCACAAGTTTGTTTTCTCACCAATGTTAAAAACAACATTTGTGCTATACCCACATGTTGTACTTTCTACATAGCCCAAGTTATGTAATTTTTAAATCCATCTTCTAATGAATACACTCTTGAACTTTTATTTGTTTCTCTCCTTGATCTGCCACGTTGCAGACAGAAAAGTTAATCTTCTCTCTTTACCAGGGTTTGTAAAACAAATGGATATGCATGGGACTGAATGCCATGGGCAGTCCAGTATTGATAAGCGTGCAGTGTTTAGTTGGGGGATTTCAAGACACTATGAGCCTTGGCTGAGAACATTGATTTCATTTGGAAACTAAGGGCCTCTTTTCAAACATAGATCCATCAAATTGCCAGAATTTCACTAACATGAAGTAAAGGAAAAGATGAATAGTTACATCACTGACATCAGGGCTTTATGCCTATTTACTCATTTAATCACCACACTGACCTTATTAGGTAGGTAATGCTATTGCCTCCTTTTTGCAGGTGAGGGAACTGAGGCCAGAGAATTCAAAGTTTGGGCCAAAATTCACACTGTCTCTAAGTGGCAGACCCATGCTCGCAGCCACTTGGTAGATTTTAAGCTGTGATTGTTATTTTTTTATCTTATTAGAGAAGAAAAGATGAATTGGAGAAGGTCACATGGTGGGTTATTTTGTCTGTAAGAATTGGGTTCCTTGTGATTTCAGAAATCAATCCAGAGTGCATAGATTTAAAATCCTCTGGGAAGAAAAACTGACAGATCACAGGATTTCACAGAGCCAGTCCAAAACCTTTGAGGGGAACAGGCAAGTCCCTAGCTCAGCTCGCTGGCTCCAAAGCATTGGCCCGGGTAGTGGCTTTATTCCCTGCCGCTGGGGTTTTCCTGGTCTCTGTAGAGGTTCCAGATTGACAAGCCAGTCAGGACTACTGGGGAGAACAGAATCCAGACCAAGCTGTGGGATACAGCTACATGTTTTCCCCCACTAGTACTTATGTTGCAGGGATAAACGTATACATGCATACAGATATGTCTCTGTAGAGTTGTGAGTATTTTTTAAACTTTATTTCTGCCCCTCCTCATTATTAGCAGTTCAGCAGAAGTGTATTACCAGAGTTTGGCAAGTCTGTTTAACTCCTAATTTTGTTTATCAGTAAAAAGAGCTTGCTTCTGGATTCAGATTTCAATAGATTCCCACTGCAAGAATAAATTCTTTTCATGAAAAACAATACACATTGCTTTGGCCCTGACAAGAATAATGAGAGTGCATATATTGATCACAATTTGTGTTAAACATAGCAGTTTCCCTATTCCAAATATATTTATGAGAAAGGTACAGCTCTTACACAAATTATCAAAATAAAATGGAAAATTTTCTAAGGGTTTCTATTTAATGCATCTTCAAAAATTAAACGAATTTGACCATTAATTTTATTATATTTCAAAAGTATTTGTAGAGTTTTTATAAGCACATAAACTTATTACCAACATTACTGATTAGAATAATTTTGCGATTTTAGTCATCTCCTAACAACCAAAAATATAGCACTCACCTTCTGCCCATTCAACCCTGGAATTCCATGTGCTCCAACAGAACCCTAAGGAGACACGTGATTAAATTAAATTGATAATCACAATCACAAAATATTTCAATGCTAAATTTATAGTGTTAGTTATGTCAGCCATAACTTTACCTTACCAAAACATATCTGGGAGGCTACATTTTTCGGTTCTTAACCTCTATGTTTAAACAATCAATAAGGTAAGCAGGTTCATCAAGCTTTTTCAGAAACTATAGAGTTAAATTTAGCTGTTTCTCCATATCCACCAAACTGCAGTAAGATTTTAAAGAAAGTCACATCATAAATTGAGATCCACAGCTTTCACAAGGCCACATAACTCTAAATTTGGGTGCTTTTAGGAAATAAATAGGCTTAGTTCCATCTGGAAAATGCCTAGCAGTAGCAGCAACTCTTGAATTTTTATGAATTTAAATACCACAAAACAAAAGGTAATTAAAACAATCACTTGTTGCACAATTAGTCAAATAAGGGGCCTGTGTTGTAAAACTTAAATTTATTGTATTTACAACATCTCTCCCCAGACTTTAAGGGAGCACACTGAGCCACATGAGTGTGACTGTGTCTTGCAAAGCAGACCGGAAAAAAAGTTACAAATGTTAAGCCCTGAGTAGGAACACCATGACTTCTGTACATAAAATATTAAGAGAGTGCGCATGCGTGCAGGCACTCGGACCTCTGTGCATGAGCTATGGGGTGAACACCAATGGCTGGACATAGGTAGGGTGAGCTGAGAATAAGCTAGCTGTTACCTGAGGAAAATCTATGCCATTGAACTGGATACAGTAACATTAACAAATGTTTTCAAATAATGATGTCATTTCCTTCCATACACCTTCGTTTTAGGCTCTGGAGAAACCATTTTTAAAGAAAATGTGCTTATTCTTTGCCTAGTACTAGAAAACAGTTTCTCATAGTCTATGTATGCTATTAAGTCTCTTAATAATAGTGGGCGAAGTTTAAAAAAACAGTAATTATAAACCCAAAACTGCTCTATACGTAAGTCGATTAAAAATACAGTCATTATAAACAAAACAAGTTGAAATGGCAAGTTTCTTAGTGCTTCCAGGACTCGATTGAGTGGGTCATTAACGTACTTCCCAGAGCCTGAGGCAGTAATTTTATCCTGGTTGCATGTGGATTAGGCTAGCTTTACAATTTCACACCAGCTTAATAGAGACATTATTGCGAAGGACAGAGTGTTCCTATACTCAAGTTGTCTCACAACTCATTGGCTTTTACTTGGTTTGCAGGATTATGTTTCAACAGATGCCACATGCCCAATGCGTGGGGATAAAAAGTCTCTATCTTTGATGGATTCCAAAGACAAAGATAATCACTTTTCCACCTGTTGTGATACAATTGTTTTCTTTAGTTTTCTACAGGTTAAATGTCCCTTTCCTCCCCATTTGGGGCGGGAGGTTGTAATGGGCAACTGGGACTTAGAGATACTTTGCTGATAAAGAGCCATCTACCTGCTACTGATACGTTTATACTGCACTATTGGTGTAATTTCAGAAATTCTAGACCCTCCCCATTAGAATATAATGGTCAATTCTGATGACCACGCACAATGTTGAAATGACCATCAGGGAGTCACTTTTCAGATTATCTCAGCAAAGGAAGGCACTTGTGGGCCACTTGAGTACAGTCACCAAGCAACAAGTACATCCTTTGGTCTGATCAGTTCTGTGGGCATTTGGCAGTCAGACGTTTGAGGAAGGCCATGCATTTCATTTGCAGTGTCGTATGATCCTTCACATTCTAAGATGCCGCAATCAGTATTTAAATTAAAAATTTAATAACCTACAAGTTTGGCAGATAGCATAAAAAGAGCCTGCTCTGGGATTGTCTATAATGAGATTGATTAGAAATCTAATGGCTCACATTCTATGTATTTTTAGACTGCATAAACCAGACCACTTATAGTAGCTAATCCCATCCAATCTCATGCTTAGCCATCAGGCAATGGGAGCATACTTACTTTGACAGTATTGTTTATACTTTACCTTTTGTCCTGGAGGCCCCATAGGACCCTAAAAAAATCAATTCAATTAACATATTATAACCATTTAAACTTAAATGACCCATTAAAACTATGCTATTCTATAAGGTTTTCTTAGCTGTGTTGACAGATGCTCATAATTTTATGTACATCAAGGAAAATGAAAATTTCAGTTGGAAGTACATAAGAGATCTTTTCTTGTCTCTTATTCTCTTTTGAAGAACATTAAGCACATTCAGTAAGATTCTGACTTTTTTTCTTTAAGAAAGAATCATTACTATCCCAGCACCTCTGTTTTTTTCAAATACCTGCAAATCTATCACATCAGTCTCATAGAAAGCTCAGCTGTTGCTACGAGAAGCAGTTAAAATGCAAGGCAGTTCCCCACTAAATGGACACATTCTCTGACTTCTGCATCTTCAAAACCTCAGCCAGCAGATTTGCAAAGAACAGAGTTCAACAGTATTATTATACAAATAAAAATATTTTATGCTATTCTTCTTATGAAATGTGGCTAATTGACCTGCACAAACACTTGTTTACAAATGAGGGGATGACAAGGTCATTTGTGGCACCCAGTGTGTGCCAGAAAAGGAACAAATGATTCTGTCAGCTGTTGCATAAACTACGGTGCTAGGGAGGGAGATGGGGGAAGAAGAAATATAATATTTAGGAAGATGAATGGAAATATTTACATACAAAATGGAAATGTGGCAGTTCTGAGATTTAGCAGTTTTCTAACTACAAAGTCTGTGTTGGGATTCCATTGGCTTTATTTGGAACAAGGCATGGCTTTGGGGTGATGGAAAAGAGCACAAAGAGATGCAGCTCTAATTCTGACCATTCACGTCTATATCAATATTAAAATATTAAGCAATTTTTTCATTTTTTTCAAAAATACTTTTAATTTTAGTATATTTTAACAAAGTTATAGATAATCTATCATTTCCTTTAAAGAGTTCTTTATCCCATTACACTTAACTAACGGCTAGTTTGTTTTCAATGTGTTACATTTCAGTTCATCAGCATCTTACATTCATACCTGAAACACTGAAGCACTAGAGTGGTCATCAGAGGAAGAACTGGTTATACATAAGTTTTAGTAAAAAGTACGCAATGTTTAGGAACATTTGAAGAACCTGTTCCTCATAAATTATTTTGTAATCCTCACAGGAAGAGAAACAATTTCCTCATATAATCAGCTTCAGATTATTGAAAGCACATGTATAGTATCACCTTTATATATTCTTTTCAGATTTATTCAACCAACCAACTTCTTAATGAGCTTGTTTCCTGACATATCTGTGTGGTCAGAATCTTTCCTACCCATTTCATTCCTTATATTTAAAATTCTCCAAGTTTTATTTAATTTTTAAAAATCCTAACCCAAGGACATGAATTTATTGGGTAAGAGTGAGAGAGAAACATCAATGTGAGGGAGAAACATTGATTAGTAGCCTCCCTTATGTGCTCCCACCGAGGATGGATGGAAGCCACAATCCAGGTATGTACCCTGACCAGAAATTGAACCTGCAACCGTTTGGTGTACCTAATGGTGCTCTAACCAACCAAGCCACCTGGACAGAGAAAATTCTCCCTGTTTTAGATTTTACAGAGAAATAAGGCTATCAAGTGTAAATTCCCTCAACATCATATATCTCAACAATTCAAACTTAGTGTACCTCCTTCCATTGTCAGAAGAAGAGGCCAACCTCCTCTACAAGGCAAAAGCATCTTAGAGACACTGGAATCCATCCTTGCTTCTGCCTTGGGGCTTTGAGAAAATCAATTATCCCTGCATCCATATCAGAGCCTCCTGCTTCCCACTAGTTCCTTCCCCTTAGCACATAAACATGTTTAATCATTTCCTCACTCGGGTAAATTGTTTGGGAAATGAATGTTAATGCTGAGTAAAGTCAGAATTTGAAAGCTGTAGTTATAGATCTGAGAGTGAAGAAAAGACTTGGGTTTTATCACTGTCTATGATTCCATTTTTCCAAGGGTCTCCAGAGTATTTCACTTCTTAAAATGTTGATGTTAAAGAGAAAATCATATAACAAAAAGTACATTAATTCAGTGTTTAGACTGAGACTGTATATGTTCAATTCAAATGGGTTTGTTTCCCATTACAAACTGAACTTTGCCACTTGAAAAAATATTGTTCACTAAAATTGAATATTTTATTATATTGATGTATAACCCTGGGAAAAATATGTCATATAAAATTAAGAGCAAATTTCAAATCAAATTTTTAAACTAGAAACCAACATTTCTGGTATTTTCTAATCTGATCTCTATTGGATGATCACATTATATCAGAGATTTAGAAAGATTACTTGTAACTGTGAAATCCATAGAATTATATTAATTGTATATTTTAGCACAGTATTTAGCGAAAGTCAAAGGATTACTATAAACATAAAGTTCTTCACTGTTAGGAAACTACTGCCATTTTTGCTAAAATTTAAAAGTAAAAGCAGTTTTTAAAATATAACATTAATTTTGAATTGTGACTACATGTCTTGTGAATTATTCATAACTATGTTGCCAAGGATAAGATTCTCAGCTACCAAAAATTTGAATTTCTCATTTGCTATCATTAGCAGGGAAAATGGTAGCAAGCCAAAGATATGTCATCCATTACTAGGAGGGGACCAGGAATAAAACAGAGTTGAATATTTGACACAGACATACATTTGAGTAAGCATAAACACAAAACACACACACACACACACACAATAGTTATTTTACTGATTAGACTTTGCTTTTATGTATGTGCTTTGAATACCTTTAGGTTAACAAACCCATTTTTAAAAAAAAATATATTTTATTGATTTTTTACAGATAGGAAGGGAGAGAGCTAGAGAGCTAGAAACGTCGATGAGAGAAACATCGACCAGCTGCCTCTTGCACACCCCCTACCAGGGATGTGCTCGCAGCCAAGGTACATGCCCTTGACCGGAATCGAACCCGGGACCCTTCAGTCCGCAGACCGACGCTCTACCACTGAGCCAAACCGGTTTTGGCAACAAACCCATTTTTAAGTTAACTCCAGAAGTGTTAAAATATAATTTGAACCTTAAAATACGCTCATTTCAATATAGATTCTGGGTGTTGTAAAATATATCAAGCTTTTTCATTGAAAGATTCTACATAATGGCCATGCTTTTTACTCAGATGATAAAAATAAATGAGCCATTGAAAGTTTCACATTTGTCTGCAGGTGAACTTTTACACCAAAGTTTTCATAGTCTTTCAGAAAAGACCTTGGGGGAGCTATGCCAAGTTAAAACTTATAAAAAACTAATAAATTTACACAGTGCACTTGATTTTCTTTTCTGTTTACCCTACCCCTTTCTAAAGATTATATGAAGTATTAGGTAGAATATGGTCAGCACATAAGTTAAGGAAATATGATAGTCCCCATTTAGTGACGATCTTTATCGAAAGTGTGCTGCTCAGGCCTGAGTAATCCTTCACTCCTTGTGCTCCAAGTCTAACAGATACTTACTCAGGAATATGTTTCTGGGTTATCCTTCTTCTTCAGCAGCATTGCTAAGCTCTTGTTCAAACCCTTTTCTCTGTCACATGGCTAATGAGACACCCACCCAGGGCCTCTCTGCTTTTAGTCTCCTTCCATCCTTTCTGCACAGCGCTGCATGAGCAAGCTTTCTTAAAGGCTGATGCATTCCTGTCTTTCCTCTGCTGAAAAACCCTTCAGGATCTTTCCAAAGCTTTTGAGAAAAGTCCAAGCTTCCGTAATAGCTGTAGTTCAACACCTAAGTCATACTTTCACATCTCTACACCTCTGGCCGTTGGTTTCTATAATGGGCTTTTTATATATTTGGTCCTCTCTTCCAGCCTTTCCATAATGCAGAGCTCAGTGTCCCTCCCTGCCCCTGCCCTTGGGGTAAGGTTTCCTTCTTTTGTTCTTCAAGGCACCCAAGGTAGGACTTCATTTATAGAATTTACCAAAAGGATTGTAATTGTGTGGTTACTTCTTTTCTGACTTTCAATGTGTTTATCATGCTCAGTAGCTGGTGTATAGTAATTGTTCAGTGAATCCTTTTGAGTTCCTTCATTAATTCATCTCTTTAAGAGTGTTTGAATGCCAACTGAAGGTCAGGCAATGTTCTAGCAGTGAACAAATTAAACAAAAAATGCATGGCCCCAGGACTTCATATCTAGTAAGTAGAGAAAGACAGTAAACAAATAAAAATTGAAGTTGCGTGGGGTGGTAAGTGCTAAAGCAAATAAGGAGGTTGGGGTGGGAGATGTAGATGTGGTAGTATTTAAACTGGGGAGTCAGTGAAGGTCTTAGCAATAAAGTGACTCCTGGATGATGTTTGAAGGCAAGCTTGGGCTGCCTGCTATTAGGAAATGATATTCTGTCTGAGCTTAGGCAGGAAATAAGCATGTAGAAGGTGAAGAATGTCTCAGGCAAGGAAACAGTAAGAACAAAGACCAAGAGGTGGGTACCTGCTAACACCTAGGCTACAGGTGGGAGTAGGAGACAGGGTTATGGATAGGGAAGAGAGATCCTTTTTGAATGTCCTTGTAGTTGTTTCTAAGCACAATGGTGTTTCCATTGAGTGTCATCCTATTATATATAATAAAGAGATAATATGCAAATTGACCCTCACACAAGTTGGCCACCCCCATGTGGTCACAAGATGGCTGGCAGGGGAGGGCAGTTGTGGGCAATCAGGCCAGCATGGAAGGGCAGTTAGGGGCGACCAAGCCTGCAGGGAGGGCAGTTAAGGGGGACCAGGCTGGCAGGTGAGGGCAGTTAGGGGTGACTGGGCCAGCAGGGGAGGGCAGTTGGGGGCAACCAGGCCTGCAGGGGAGGGCAGTTAGGGGCAGCCAGAACTTGCCTTCAACACCTCCCCAGAGGCTCCTAAAGCACATCAGTTAGAAAATCTGCATCCTGCTTAAGTAATTAATACCTCAACTGCCAGCAGGGGAGGGCAGTTGGGGGCAATCAGACTGGCAGGGGAGCTGTTAAGTGTTAATCAGGCTGGGAGGGGGGTG